GGCACTTTCTATGCGTATATAAAATCGATAATAATATAGAATAGGCCTATAATGTTTAAACAGAAGTTTTCACTTTCAAAATGTTAGAGTATAGTTGCCCAAAGTGATTCCTACCGCCCAGTGCGCGCTGAAGAGGCCTAGAGAGGCGGTAGGATCCTCCTTGGGGAGCGTTGATGCTGTCCAGGGAGTGCTACCGCACTTGAAAAAACCTGCAATGTAATTTATATACATATATAATATATAAACTACACAGAAAATATACATATAATTCTTTCCTTATGATTTTTTGTGTTAAATTGATATAAAAAATACGTGTTTTCAATTATTTTTTATGGTGGTGGGAATTGAATTTTTTTTAATTTGCATGAGTGTGTGAGGCAAAAAGCTTGGGAACCTATACTTTTTCGAGGGTATGATTATGTAATGGCTTCCATTCTGAATAACTTAAGGTTCTCGGTAACTCTGATATTACATTGTACCTACATGACATTCAGCACATTGATGTAGCTCTACAATATTGTTGTATAATTGAAAAGACAACAGCTTTATAGGTTCATCTGGCATAATGGTTCCATGTGAAGCCGTAAGCCGTTGCATTGAGATCTTATTTCTTGACACCGCCAATCCTTTTTTTTTTCATTCCATGGTTGCATGGTCGAAACGAAAATATTTTTGTATAACCCCGTTGCACAGTGTTAACATACGTAACCAAATATTATTTTTATGGTTAGGTTATACTATGGCGTTAAGTGATTTAAATATTATAAGGCAACTTAAAACCTTAATTAATGGTTATAAAGTTGGCACATAATGTTTACTGTCATATGCAAACCATATGCAAGTTTTATTAAACCACTGTTTAAATACACTGTACCTATAACGTCAGGTAATCCTACACGACAGATTAACTCCATTAATACCCGCAATGGTTAGAAGGTGAATTCTGACTCTTGCAGCATTTAGCTCTATAGGATTTATAATTAACACTTCTAAGACACTAACAACTTTCTTGTTAATTCTTAGGGCTCGAATTCAACTTGCTAGGTGGTACCAATTATTTAATGACTCTATTTAAGAACGTCAGCCGCTAGTAAGTGTTAGTAAATACCGTACACTTTCATTTAGTGTTTTGCTTCATAAAGCTCTATAAGTAAATTATACAACCGTACCGTCCAACTCCATACAACCGTCCATTGCCGTTAAGTAATATTTTTTTTATCTATGTTACTATTATTCCTCTTGAGAAGGTTTAATTATTTATCCCTATAACCACAATAGAGCCGAACGTTATTCTGGAAGGTCTTATATATAATTAATGCGAATATCAGCGCTATTAAAAGGTTACCCTTAGCGCCAATATGTTTGTTGGATTGACAGTCGTCTTCACAAAGTCACAAAATTTATTTCATGTCATTTAATTTCTTACTTCTTAATTTATTTCTTTTGTAAATAGTATAGTACCTTGTAAGTTATGTGTAGACTCTCTCACACACTCCAGGTAACAAGGCTTTACGTGTAGCTGAAGCTGGCTGAAGCGTCATGTGGCGCGGTAGCCCATAGAGGAACAGTACGTACCTAGCTCCAAACTACAACGTATAAGGTCAAGAGCCGTAAACCTTGGCATTCTGATTTAAATTAAACTCTATGTCGCTTTCTACAGGAACAGGGCAAAATTCAAATGCATCATCAAGCTTGATGCGCTTTTGACCATCACCATCTTGACTATTCCTATTTATAACGCTTATTATAGGGGAGAGTTGAGTAATACCGAGCCCCTAAGCAAAGGCCTATAATTAAGCTCAAGCTTGGTTTACAAAAACGAAATTTATAGTCGTAAGTAGATAATTTATTTGGCTATACGTAGAGTAAAATTATCAAAAATGAGCAAACTCGGTATTATCAAAAACGTCTTCAGTCTTAAAAATACTTCACTAATGTCGATACATTCTTTTGATATGTGATAGCTTTCTTGTTTCTTGTCAAATTTTTGCTTAACTTTATTATTTCGATATTTTTATATATGTTTTTTCCACAAATTTATCCCTCTCAATGTTTAAGTTGCTGTTCGAGACTTTCCTCTTAGCAGGTTATTCTTTAGCTTCGTTTCTTCTTTTCTACTCCCTGTTCCATTCAACTGTTTGTCAAATATTTTTTTATAAATTACGTTTCTGTGCACAAATCTGATAATACCGTGCTCTAACCGCGGAATTGTCAAAGACAGCCACTTTGCTTTCAAACCACAAAATAATATAAAAAAGCAAACTACATTTCCGAAATGATTTTGCAGATCAATTCTACAATATTTTAAACCTTTCAAATATGTTAAAACAATATAATGTGGCTTACCTCTTACGGAAAACATCGGTAAAATTATATTAAATAAGTATGAAAACTTACAGTACGCATCATCTTTGGATGATCGTTCAGAATGAAGTGATAGCGTGCATGCGGGGATACGTGTCAGGCTAGGATACCAGAGCACTGTAAACTCTAAGTAGCGTATAGTTATACAGAGGCGCAAAATCATCAGCCGCGAGGTAATACCCAACTCTCCCCTACTACCCGATATCCGATGGATAGGACCCCATCCCTTAATTAGGGAGTTGTAATGAGAGTTTTGAGCTACTCATATATAAGTTAATAAGAGGTACTCATTCCAGCGAGTGAAGACTGTTTCA